TCGGGGAACAAATAAAGCAATTTCCACACCTAGAAAAGACATCAATGTGATGTACAAGATTAAAAATATAAGCAAAAGTAGACTCTAGTAACCACTATCAACCCCACTCTGCCCCCATTATCCCAAATAATCAAAAGTTGCTGGGAAATACTACATCTCAAACCAGACCTAAAAAATTGTTTAAGGAACCCAGCCTTAGCATATTGTAGGCTTAAGAACCTAAATTATAGGTAGTAAGCACATTTCAAGCGACAAGGTAATCCATAATAAACCAAAAACAACAGGATTTTCCCAAACATGTAACAACAAAAGGAGCTTATGCTGCAACCACATTAGACACATGAATTCATTCATTAGTTCAGTCACTAAATCTACTTTCTAAATCTACCACAACTAACTGTAGAAGTCATAATATAATTTACCTCCGAGAATGCACGCTATGCCAGAAACAATATGTAGGAAAATTTGAATGGCCCTTTCACTACAGAATTAATAATTACCGCAATCGAATTAAGTTGACTCCCCAAGAAAGATTATTACCTGTAGAACATTTCCACCTACAAAAACATGATTTTAAAACGCATGCGGAATTCACTACAATTGAGAAAATAGAAAAATTCAGAGCAGATAACATTAGAAAAAATTTTAGAGGGCTATAAAAATAAGTGGCTTCAGTGCCTAAAAGCACCTTATCCAGATGGGCTTAATCACAAATTTAACAATCTAGATAGAATTAATACATAACCCCACAAATCATCCACAAAAGACAGATATGCTTGCGGAGGTGTTGAGGCCTCACACTTAGGCACATACCCATACGGATATACGCACTTACACACGTCATACTCACTCACTTCTTAACACACCAAATAACACACACACTTAACAGTGACACATCCCCTTTCCAGGAACCAATAAAACTGTCAAAATGACCAAGGGAATTCAGAGCAGTATGAATTCATCTAGCTCTTATCTTAAATAACAACTTAAGAGACTGTTTGACTAACACAAGGCCTGAACAAAATTTATGTTAAAAAATTAAAAAAAAAAGAAAAAAAAAGATGAAATCTACCAATAAAGTTCATTTTCTCCAAGTTATTTATTTCTGTAGTTCACTGTTACTAACAAGCAAAAAAATATTTTTCTCCTGATGGCCATGTTGGCCGAAACTAGTCGAGGAATCTAACTAAAATAAAAACAAAAGAATATTAACATACAACCCAGTGTGTCTGAAGATTTTAATTTTTTAATATTTTTTATTGTTCAAAATACACACACACACACATATATATCAGCTGTACAACATAACACCCTTGAGTGCTTAGCCCTGGAGCAGGTAGAATGGAGATCAATGTGTTTTAGTGGACTCAGCAGTTTTCAATCTGCTTGTCTGAATCATCTTCAAGAAGCAAGAGTAAGATCTAAAAGGTCAGCCAATCTAACAGTGATCTCATCTCACAATCCTTACTCTTGCTCCATATGTGGCCTCCTTTGTAAATTACTAGCGGGTCTTAAATGCCACAAAAATCACAAAAATTTCATAACTGAATCAACTAAGCTGTCATATCCTCATATGTTGAAACTGATGAGAGAGTCCATTATTATTATTATTATTATTATTATTATATTATTGATGAATTTTCTTATTGGTTGGGTATCTACCAATGAAGAGGGGTGGAAAAATCACCAGCACCAGAATCAAATACTCTTAGACACTTTATAAGCAGGCATCCCGGGGTTCCCATGGGCTTCGTTCTGGCAGGGTAGCCCCTTGCTTTCTTTCTGCATAGACTGCATACTAAATGTCCTCTTTTTGACCAACAGAGGTAGGTACTACCATCAGTAGCAGCTCAATCTGCATTTTGCTTCCACCATGTCCCCACCACCCGATCTCATGAGCACATATGTGACAACCTGGAGCTGGTCTCTTACACTGCTCTTTCATAGTGGTAGGATTGCAGCTTCCTCTTCAAATGACTTATCTGATGAAATCTCCTTTGGCAAGTCTGTATCAGGCCCTGAGCTGCTTGCTTTAGGGGGATTAGTGAGTGCATCTCTGATATTGATCCTCCTTGCACTCTGGAAGAAGGACTCACTGCCATTTTCACTTTCTGAAGCATTTGAACCTATGACAGGATGCAGGACCCTCACATGGTGAGGTAGTCTGCCAATGAGGATTTTCTTTTCATTTGAACTTGGTACTAATGGATCATATTGGCAAGTGCAGTCAGCAGTGACACATTATATTTGGAGGGTGACATTGTATCAATAAATAAACGTGCTTAAAAAAAAAAAAAAAAAAAAAAAAAAAATCAAGAATAAAATCTAATTCATTTGTGAATAAGTTCTAAAAGTTTAATTAAAATCCGCCAATAATTTGATTTTTGCAAGAATTTCCGAATCAATGTGTTTTTTCACCTGAAAGAAAGCGCAAAAACACTAAATGGTGAATATTAATTACGTCGACCGCTAACGTAAAAAAAAAAAAAAATAATCAAAATTTCGAACGTGCTAGAAAGGATTAAAAAATTTAATAAGTAAGAAATATTTTGGTCTTTCTTTACTCTTCTTCTTTCTTAAACATTTTTGACGATAAAACTGCGTTTTTATTATGTTTTGTTCCTTTTCATGCTGCTTTTTCGGCGAATTAGTGGAGATACCTAGAACTTCATTATCTTGAGAAACATAAGTGGAGTTGCCATTTTTTCAGAGTTTAGAATTCAGTTTGCTTTCCCTTATGCTGGCTACCACCAAAAACTGGAGAACCCAGTTACTCAATCCTGCTATTGAAGCTTTAGGCAGCTTGGCTGAACAAAACTGGATTTATGTCTTTCCAGAGAGCATTTGTGTGAAAGTGAACGCAGTAGACTAACCTGGAATTTGAGCTCAGTACGCTACCTACACACATTTAAGTTTTTTTTAACCAACATTAAACAGCTGAATAAATTAAACAGTAGTAGACTAATCATTCGGTTCCAAAAGACATGGACTTAAAAAAAAAACACTAAAAATATTTTAATTGATTTTTTGAAAATTAATAAATATTAAAAATGGGAAGAAAAAACAAAAAACGAACAGCTTAAACTTTAAAGAATACTGTTTGAAGAAGAGCGTTTTTGCGCCACTTATGAAAAAGATATTTTTAATTTTAAATAGTTTTTTTTTGTATTGATATTTGATGTACGGTAGGAGGTAATGATTTCTCCAGTTGGTAACTTTTTATTTGAAACTCTGTAAAGGTCTCCATTTGAATAAAGATTTTCATGGGGGATATTTAATGTTAAGAGTTTTGGGGAAAAAAAAAGAAAAAGGAATTACTCAATAACTGGCTCGGAATATTGAGAGAACATTATATGGTCTCAAAAAAGTCAAAATCTTGGAAAGAACTCTATATTAAATTAATTAATACCAGTGTTAGACATCACGATTAATCTTTGGAATCAGACAGCAAATTATTTTGTCATCAAACGAACCACCATATAAATTTAATGACCAACAACATTTGGGGTGGGGTACTATCGATAAAATTCCATTATTCCCCGTAAAAACTTTGAAGACCTGCAGCAGTTCTAGCGCAAGACATAGATAGAACTTTGGAGAGGACGGATTCACAAAATTGCTGGAGATCAGAAATCACACCGATTTGCAGTGTGCCTTAAGTCAACAAAACAATTCTGATAAGGACCATAAGTCTAAACTTCTTAAGATATAGAACCAACACTATTTCAGGGAAATTTTTAAAAAAATAGTAAATTCTAATTTAAGTTTATTTAATGCAATCAATCAACTGTACCTAAAAAAATTTTGAGAAATAAAATACCTTAACTGAACAATAACATTGACAAATATTCTGTCAATGTTATTGTAAGGTATTTTAATTTCTTTTTAACAGAATCCAAATTTAATGTTTGTCTATTTTTAAAAATATGTATTTAAATTTAACGATGCTATTGTTAGTATTCAAATTGTATCCACCAGTCTAAAAATCCTCGTTTCATAGAAGACTGGTCAACATTTGTAACATTGTCAGCTGAGAGCATTTTTCCCCCCTTCAAAACTGCTGCTGTTCATTAATTTTTTTAAAGCTACAGGTAAGCTAGACAGAATTGAAAAATCCAATCTTAACAATGTAGAGTGCATCACGCATACATTATCAGGAAAACAATCGTATTTAGAGATAAATACGTTGCATTTTTTTTTTAAACAGAAAAAAGGAGATGACATCCAGCGTTGTTAAATGTTTTAAAATTTAAAACTGGAAGATAAATATAACGTTGACGAAGTGGGAATTTTCCGAAGGTAAGACTTTCAAACGGAAAAAAATACATCTTATCTTACAAGATGTTTTCTTATCTCAACGAAAACAGTTTTAAAAGTTTTTTTTTAATAATAATAATAAATAAGCAATAAATGTGATTCGTAACAAAAAGCAAAACTAATAAAAAAAAAATAAAGAAAAGGATTTTCTTATTCATTCTCGTCGGAAAAAAAGAATGAAATGGAGACTTTTTAAACTAAAACTAATAGTTAAAAACAGTATATTGTCGATACATATAATATAATGCCCGATCTAAGTATATATTTACCAAAAAGAAGAGTGTATGCTGCAGTTAATGACAATGATTCTTCTTGCTCACCTGTAAAACAACTTCGACATCGTAAGAATTGCCTTTGCTTTTCTGGTGTCCGTTGAAGCGAGACCCATTGTAGAGTAAATTTGTAGGCATGCCAGCCAGATGAGAGTTTTCGGGTGGTGGCGGGTCAATAATATTCTGCGGCATTTCCGATCCAACTTTCTTCCTGGTTTTTGTTGTTTGTTTACCTACAAGAAAATCCACACCGAACCAGCAAGGACACTTTCATTTAAAAAAAAAAAAATACAATTACCCCTTGACACTATAACGCTATCTTCGACTGGCCAATCTTACAGCTTCCGGTAAATTCGACCAATAGAAAGCCAGCTTTTTTATACGCCTTCGGTTGGAAAAGTTTTACCTAACATGGCTGCCGTTAAGAACGTTGTTGCTGGCGCCGTATTGAGACAAGTTCGATCCCTATTTTCGGCATCTGCCAGCTCCCATTTTACCACAGTACCGATTGCTAGAAAGATACACACTAGAGGTATGATCTGAAGGCGCCTTTTATAATTCTAAAAACGTCTTTGGCCCAAAAGAAATTATCATAGACCCATATTTTATCCTCTTTTTAGTTATTAACTTCTCTTTTTACCTCCCTTGAAAATTGAAGAGGTTTATTATTACTTGGATTGTGGATTTTTTTTTCTTTCTAACTGTTACTTTCTTCAACAAGTTTTGAAACTATATAGGACATTGTGTGAATTGTGCTTGTTTTACTAAACCCTTAATATTCTATTGACATAGACGAAAATGCAAGTTTTGTATAATGAATCCGTCGGTAAAGTAGTAATTGAGTTTGACCTTCGTTTCCTTTGCAAATGACCTGTTTCGGATCGAATAATGTAGGTCTATAGGTCCCCTTATAGGAATCTATATAGTAAACCCTTGGACTCAAAGGAAACTTCTATATTAATGAAATAAGACTATAGAAAAATTATCTTGAGAGGCTGTTTTACATCGTTAAATATTCGTTTCGGAATGTGGTATATATGTAGGAGGAACTTTTTTTCAAATGTTGCCGCTTTTAATAACCTCCTGATTGGCTATTCTGGATCGGTGATTGGTAAAAAAATGTCCCTTTTACACACAATGTCAGGATCTGTTAAAGAATCCGTTTCAAAAATCGCGATTGAAATTTTTAGGTGGGAAGTTTTTTTTAAATACACCGTTTTTTTTTTTGTAAATTACAAAAATAATCACTTTCGAAATATTGTTTAATATGAAAATAGATGAGAAAAAAGATATTTTTTCACTCACTGCCCTTTCGCAGACTCGAAAATACGTATATGCCAATTATCGATCTAAAAAGTAAACTATACTTTAACTTAATGAATGCAATTGCATAGGATTTTCTTTCTTACACTTTTTCACGTTTTTTTTTATTTTCGAATGCTTCGCTGACGTTTACATTATTTTCATGATCATCAAACAAAAACAAACAAAAGCCATCTACGAATTCCAAGCCACGACGTTTTTGAAAACTCCTTTCAGTATTATTGCAATGTTCGCAATTTTGATTTTTTTTTTTTCAACAATACGATGCTAACTATTTGCATTTTTTTATTATTGAAAGGTTTAGCTTAATTTCTATATTGGTTACTTAGTAAAAATTTAAAAGTGTATGGAATTATTGTTGTTTTGCTCTACAGTCTACAATCTTCAATAGTGCACATAAAAATATTTCAGCCATAAAAACTAATTATAAAATGTGAATTTTGAAAATTTAAGACCCTGAAGAAATACGTATTAAAAAAAAAAAAAAAAAAAAAACTGTCTGGGTTACTGAATAAAAAAAAAATAAAAAAAATAATGAAATTAGCTTCAGCTATAAAACTAAAACTTTATCTCTTATTTTATAAATAAAAATAAATCCGTAGAATGTCAAAGTTATTTGTACTAAAATCAAAAAAAAAAAAAAAAAAAATAATGGGAGAAACTCAAAAGTGCAACATTGGTGATTAGGAAAATGGATTTCTCAAATGTTCATTCATTTATGGACTTATCCAGTAGTAAAGGCATTATGTTTACTGTGGGAGTTTGTAACGACTTTAGGTTACCAGTGTTTTTTTTTTTTTTTTTTTTTTTAAAAAAGAGAGATTTTCCTGTTGGTGAGAGTACCACACACACACACACACACGACAAATGGAAAACTGTTTCATTGAAACTAGATTTGATGTGTTTCGCCTTTCTAGGCTTCATCAGATCTAAAAACCAAAAAAAAAAAAAAAAAACATTGTGTGCGTGCGTGCTTAAATAATAAATCCATATATATTAATCATATACATATGTGTGTGTACATAATATATATATATATATATATATATATATGTGTGTGTGTGAAAAACAAAAAACAATATAACCAAACTTATGGATTTGCCTTGATGAAGTCCATCAGAGGATGAGAGATGTTTCAGCTAAGATGAATTTTCCTTTTGTCTTTATTCATAGGTGTGTGTGTGTGATAGATTGTGGTCGCATGAAGTTTTCTTGGAGATGTTGTAACCATAGTATCAGAAATAGTTGTATGCAACGTGTGGTTCTTTGAGGACTAAGAAGTCTTGTATTAATGTTATTTGTACTTAAGGGGGAGATTATGACAAAACTTTCACCTTTCTAATTAAAAAATAAAGATTTCAGTCTGGAAACCCTGGTCTACATAGTTATGGCTTTCTTCAGGTGGCATACATAGGAATTTCCAACTGAAACCTTTATTTTGTGCACCAGGATAGATCTTTCTCGTTTCTTGTGCCATGCCAAATCTTGATATCTTAGTTTCAGTTATTTCCATTTGGTAACTCGACTCTCCAAGTTTTTGTACACTTCTGCTGTGCCCAGGTATTACAACTCTTTGGCTCAAGTCAATGCTTTTATCCACATGGTCCAATGGATACCTCATTTCAGAAATATCGATAGAAATTTTTCTTGCATTTTGCAGATTTAAATTGTTCTAATATTTAGGAAATTACACTAAAAAGTAGAAGAAAATATCTTCTATTACTGTTATTCAAAGTTATAGGGTTAGAGACAAAAAAGTAGAAAATATGGCAAAAATTGTGTTCATTTAACTGAATTTTGTGTTGTAGGATCTTGGAATCCACTTGATATAGGTCATTTTTGAAAAAGAGTGTTGAGTTAAACTTATCATGTCTAACATTAATTACAACAAGATTCCAAGCCACCTGGAACTGATCATCTGAAAGTAAATGATTAAATTTGTGTGAGTTTTGATTAACTTCAAATTATTATAATTTGACAAATACTTGGGAGTTAGGACATGGTCAGACCAGTTCTGAAATCTCAAGACTGTCTACTTTCAGACAAGATATAACACTTGGGAAATGTTCGAAAAATACCAAATGTTTGTTTACAAATGCAAGTCCCTGTGAAGTGAAATTCCTTTCATTAGTGCAAAATCATAGAACATAGAAAACTGTTTTGTAACCATTATACCAGTCTCTGGAGAGGAATTAGACCAAAGTGAATATACAGAAGAAAATTCATTACATAATACAATAGTTTTTAAACTGTTAAAGCATTTATTATGCAAGCATTAAATTTATTAAAAATTAAATTCAGTAATATAATATACAATGTGACTTTATATACTTATCCATCATACAGCTTGATCTCCCCTTCTTAGTAATGATATATTCCATTGTTTTGATAACATGATCTAGTGTTTTGAAAACAGTTTGTGGTAAGGCGGGGATAGCTTTTCAGAAAGGTTATTTTGTATTAAACATTTTTATCATGAGTTTGCAAAGTTATGGTAGAGAGTGTACTGAAAGGTTGTTAAGAAATGTGGTCAGCATCACATATGAAAACAACAAGGAATGTTGTTCTAAAAGTATCCATCTAAATCTTCACTTTAACATCATATTATAATTCTGCTTGTTTCTCCATTAGTTAGCATGTGCATTACACCCTATTATGCAATTATTTGATTTATATCAAGAAATGATATCAGAAGTATATACCCATTTATGTATTTATTTTTTTTATCAGATTTATCCCATGCAAGGCAGTAAAGCTATTAAGACACAAGTGGTTACCTAGTGTGAAAGAATTAGAAAATAGAAACATTATTAAGAATCAAGAACAATAGAAGAGTAATCAGGAAGACAGTAGATAACGATTGCATTTACATTTTTGAAGATCAAACTTGGCTGGAAAGCATGGTGCTGGTAGAGAGTTCCACAAGCGAGAAAAGAAACTGTTGCAGGTATGCAATCTTGGCTCTCCACAGGTTCCTTTTCTTTATTATTATCTGTGAATTGGCATGACTTCTTGAGAAAGATATCAGAATGGGTTGCTCCCTGGTTTTGAATTCAGAGTTGTCCTTTTAAGACTTACTGCCACCCAAACCTAAAGAGCCCAGTGTTTAACCCGTATCAGGAAGGAAATGGGTTCATGCCTTTCCCAAAGCTATTTGTACAAAGTGAATGCAATAGATGAGGCTGGAACTTGAACTCTGCTTGCTGATTCCACTGATAACCATTATTCTACCCATGTGTCCCAGTCCCAAAATGCATAACCCATTATTTTTTTGACTAAATGAGGTAAACTAGTATGTAAATAAGCTTTTTAATAATAATGTTTTGTTTTGTATTTTAGAAGTGAAGAAATTCTATAAAAATGCCAGAATTGCTCAAAGCAATGGTAAGTATGCCTTGTTTGTAATTTTGTTTTAGATATTTTTGGTTTATACCTATCTCTTTCTATCTGTACATATATAATAATTATAATTATATACACAATTTACATGTACACTATTGTCCTCATCTTTGTGGTTGTTATCAATGTTTTGCACGTTGTGCCGTCCAACCTTCATCAGGTGCATGTCAATCCAGGTAACCAAAAGGGAATTCCAAAATGAACCCTTTAACCTGTTCTCATTCCATTGACCATGTCTCGTCTAGTTTGTATTTTTAGTACTGCTCAATATTTGCTAACTCTGTTTCCCCCTGAGGCCAAGTAGACACTACAGGAATAGTTGACCCCATAGATCAAATAAAGGGTTCTGTTAGGAATCGACATACACCTGATGAAGGTCGGAAGACACAATGTCCGAAACATTGTGATGACAACAAAGATGACAATAGTCTGCATGTAAATAATGTAAAAAATGTTAATTCTTCATCTGACTCTTGAGCCTTATGTTGGGTGAAAATTAGCATAAAAACGGAAGCTACATTGTTGGTTGCAAAAGAATCTGAGTGTTGTAAGTAAAAAAGAACAAGATAAAAAATAGATTAGTCAAAAATTAATAATGACAATGCTCTATCAAAGAAATTTTGACAACTTACTATATCCGAGGTTATATAAGACACCCATCTTTCCAAAACATAAACGATGATCTGAAATTGGAATGAAAGCAACAATGGCACATATGCTAAATCCATCATAAAAACCCAAGATGTAGTATTAGTAAATACTAAACACTTTAAATACCTCAAGTTATAACAAATTTAGTATAGGAGATAAGGAAATTGAAAACATAATAGACTCTACTAGCAACAGTTTTTTCCTAACATTGCTAATTTCTTCAAAACTGAAACATTAACCTGAAAACCTGAGTCATGTTTTTAAAAAATATCAAAACTGTCAGTTGTATACAATTGCTTTCTCCTGGGTATGATGATAAACTACATCTGGCAGGAAGGCCTCTGATCGGGAGGTTTTGAGGAGTATGGAACCACTTCTTAATTGCTGTTGTTCCCAGGGACACCCTGACCCAGAGTGGTAGTACATGTTAGGCTCCCAGCTATGGGCAAATAGTGACCCTCCCACCAAACAAAAACCCTATGAAAGTATAAAAATGCATTTTAATAGTAAAAATATCAGCAATACATTTTTATATAAAAAATATCAACAATACCTATTGATAGCAAAATGATCAATAATACATTTTATTTGTAGTTGAAGAAATACAAATGAGTTCAAAATATATTTAGTTGAAGCCATAAAATTGTGTTCAAATTATTTAGATTTCAGCATTAAATAACCCATAATAGTTGATGTGCTGCTATACAACCAATAACTGCTTTCTACGAGCAATGGTTAAAAATGGCCTTAAGCAAGTGAAGCCTATGAGTCTAGGTGAAAACTATCCTCCTTTGAATATTGTAGACTAGTGCTACAGAATCACAAAGAATTTTAATGAATAACTGAAATCATATCACTTGTGAACTTTCAACAGCAGCAACAACTAAAATGAATAGCAAGAATTGTAGTTGACTTGTTAAACCACCATATACAACAGCCAATTGTGTTTTTAGCTAATTAACATTTTCATTTATTTTTTTTTCTAATCTAAAGGAATACAGACAAGACTTATGCAAGATCTTTGATTCATAGGACACAAGCAGATTTTGGCATACAATTTTTGGTGAAAAAAACTTGTCTTTTACATTGAAACATGGTATTTTATATTGCAACAAGTATTTATAAACAGAAGTAAAAAAAATAATTTGGTTTTAAAAATTTTTAAACTTAAGAACACTCATAAATATTCCTCAGGCTAACTGTGAAAGTCAAGGTAAACTATGGAGGATGCTAAGTGATATGTAAACATATAGACACAGCTATAAACTGATTATACTCAGACTAATTGAACTCTTAAGTTAGGGCAGCATTTATTATATATAAATATTTTTCATTAGACTATTAGCTTAAATTCAAACTGTAATAATATCACTCAGTTTAAGTTGACTTTCTCAGTTTTAATAATAACTTTGATAACCATCATAATTTTAATGTTTAAAATGTTAATTTTGTCACTTTTTTTGTGATAGGGCTGTTTGAGATAAATTTGGATAAGAGAAAATTGCGGACCCCATTAGGCAATTTGTTCCAGGTGGATAATGAGAGTCTTGCTCTTGCTGTGGCTACAGAATGGAATGCTCAAGAGGACACCATCAAGCAACATAATATGTACTTGGTAAGTATTATCTATCTCTCCTTACCTGGTTACACTTAGCCTGTAACTTTTGGCAAGGATGACATGTCTGTAAAAGTTGCTTGCTATGAATGACATTAAAAACTTGTATCTTTTATATGTTGTAAAACAAGACTTGAATACAAATAAAAATGTATAAGGCAATTATGACTAAAAACTACAGACATTTTGTGTTGATTAATTTTATTGATCGACTTTTCAAAATCATGAATAATCCTTCTCAGACAAGGAGGAAATTTTGTCGAAAGTTCCTTTTAGAAGAAAATAACAGGAAATATGGTCCAAGTCATCATCAGGGTAGGTAGAGACAATGGTGAGTTTCATAGAACTAGTGAGTGTTGTCATAGGCAAAGATGATGAGATGCTATCAATGTATATTTATATATACTTCCTGTCCAATTTGATAAAGGGAGATAACTTAATATTTTATTCATAAAGGGAGATAGCAATATTGGTAACATTAGATAATATAAATAATTTTTTCATTAAACCATTATCAATGTGTATTTATTTATATATTTACTGTCCCTTCTGGAGGTCTAATAAGACAGACTGAAATACAAGCGGTAATAATAAGCATTTATTTACAAGTAACAATTACTTTCACACAAATACATCACAGGGTTTTTATTAATGTTGCCACAAAAAATATTTTATCTGAATATGTGAATTATGGTATCCTAGATTCAACACACTTTTACCCTGTAAATATATAATTGAATAACTATTAAAAGATAAATTTAGTATTAATATTGTAGGTGTAATTACATGTTGTCATATTTAAATACATTTTAGTTTTGTATTGATATCCAAGATTTAATGCAGGCTTAATCTATAAATGTAGAAATAAACTTAAATAATTCCTTGTGTTTTATATTGTTTTGTGCATTTAAGAAAATTTTGTCAAAAAGGCAACTGAAAAAGAAAATCAAGACCCATTCACACGAACTAGGCTTGCCGCTTTTACCCACCTTTCATTGAAATCTGCTGACGGCAAATGCTTTCAATCAGTTCTGATCTTCATCCTGAGCTGATACCCAAAGAATCCAGCCAGATTCTGATGAGAATAACATTAGACAGTATCAACCTTGTTCAATTAAATTGTATTTATTATTAAATTATATTAAATATGTTGCCAGTTATTTGGTGCCTCATTAATTAATTACTTTGTTATCCCTTCTGGATTTCTCTTGTAGACGACTCTTTGTAATACTGTGATAGATAATCCAATGCAAAGAACAAAAGAAGATTTGACAAAAGCCGTCTTACATTTTCTCGAGACTGATACGCTTTGGTAAGTAAAAATAAACTTTTGACAAATTCTGCAAATCTTATCCTTGTCAGGGTTGCTGTTTGTATCCTCAGTACACATTGTGTACACAGAGGGGCTTATTTTCTGTGAAAACGGAAAAAATTGACAGAAAAAATAGAATGACCTACTTGAAATGGAAATTACAATTTTGAAATGGAAATTCTTTTTTCTAATAATCAGATTTGACAACTGCCATTTTTATTTGTTACTACATTTGCCTTTCCTAACAAACTCTTCCCCTCAACCCAGACAAAGGATAAAGTTGGTAATGTTTTAATACATTCCCCTTACCTACTGTCTTCATACAGTTTGCAGTATTTCATTTTACCCTGAAAACTGAAATTATATATACACGAGTGACACTTGAGACTCTAAAATAGATTAAATAGGTTGCTTTCACACTGATGTTATTTGAGGTAATTGGAATCCAAAAAGGGACAATACTGTCATTAGCCTTACCTTCCAATACTTCTCCATTGTGCTTACAATTTTATTTGACTAAAATGTTTACAAAGTTATTTTTTATGTCTCTAATATGGAAAGAAACAGAATGAATATTCAAACATTTTGGATTTTATTTCTTAAATTTTTTATTAGTCTGTGGTGTGGTGGTATTTTTCTGTAGGTTTTGCCACTTTCACTTATTTGGGATTGTAGAATTCTTTGTAAAGGTTGTCCTGGAAATTCATCAAATTAGATTAAACTGTATCAAACTGGAACAACTTATCCAATGGGTGGTAGTCCTTGGTATGACAATAAATTGCATCCAGCAACAAGGCCTCTGATTGGGACATTGGATGTTTTGAAGAATGTGGAACCACCTCTTAATTGCTTTTGTTCCCAGGTTCACTCTGACTTGGGGTGGTAGCACCTGTTAGGGTTCCAGCTATGGGCAAATAGTGAACTCACAAACAAAGACAAGACTGTTATGTTATAAATACCAGCAACACATTTTTATATAAAAAAAATATTACCAACAATATCAAGTTATAGCAGAATTACCAACAATACCTATTTATCTGTAGTTGAAGCCATAAGAATGTGTTCAAAATATTTAGATTTTGGCATTAAATAACCCATACAAGTTGATATGCTGCTAAACAAAATCAGCCCAAACCATCCAATGGGTGGATATTCAACATTTATATATTGTTACATTTTCTCACTAAGTATTATAAGGAAGCAAAAACAAATTTATACTGAAACCTGAAAAATAATGGAATTCCCTAAAACTTGAAATGGAATTAAGGAAAATTTGAAACAGAAAATCTGGCCTTCTACATACATTAAGAATAGAAAAAAAGAAGCTTTGGACTAGCTTCAATTTTATTTTCTATTAAATGTTAGAACTGGTTTGCTACCTTGCCTACCTGCGCCAAAAAAGGAGGCTGGTGAATGAATTTTTCAAAATGTTGAGAAAAAGAGGATAAGGAATGCTTCAAAAACTAATTGAATATTAACAGGATTTGCATTTGATGGAATGGTTAGCAGCTTGGAACAAGAAATCAGAAAGCCAAGTTTGAATTTCAGTTTAGTTTTTCACATTCACTTGTGTGCAAATAACCTTGGGAAACAAATGAATCCATTCCTTCCCTTCCTAGCTATGGGTTAAATAGTAGGTCAGATTTTAGTTGACAACCAGTCTACAAGAAAGACAACTCTAAATTAAAAAAAAAACTGATTAAGCATGGGGTTATCAACTCCAACCCTTAAAAACCTATTTGCTACCACAGCAACAACACCTAACATATTGAGAGCTGTAGCCCCATATTTCTCAGTGAAGTGTATTGAACTTGAGTGAGTGAATATTAATGATGATCCACCTTAAAAGCTCAAATAAAAGCAACAATGATGATATTCAAAGATATTTATTGAATATTAACAACAACTCAAAGGCTCATATAAAAACAATGAAGATGAAGATAGTCAAAAAAGTTGATTAAATAAATCACTTACTATTTGCATGCAAGAAAAAAAATTCTTTCTCAGTGTAATTCCTTTACTTCATATGGTTAGATATTTGCTTGGGAAAGTGTGAATGTACTTTGCACAAACTATTTCCATTTTTAAGTTACAAATAAAAGCTTAATTGTTTTGCCGAGTCTGATGAGAGTGAATAATAAGTTTTTCCATTGTGTTAGGATAGAAATAACAAAGGTAAGAATAACAGCATCTTGTAACCATTTTCTTTTTTCTCTCTTTCAGTTATAGAATGTTGGATCCACCTGATTTGATCACCTTTCAGCAAACACATTGGGATCCTTTAGTCGATTGGTTTCGAAGTCGGTAAGAATCACATTCAAAGACCTGTTTTTTTGCTAAAATTATACATGGAGATGATAAAATACAAACACACTTGAATATTTAGTATTTAAAGAATAAAAGCATTAGATAGAGTGTATAAAATCTCCATATAAGAATATTAAAAAAATATGATTAAACCTTTTTTGTATGATGCAAACCAGAATATTTTCTAAAATTAAATTTTACATTTAAACATCTAAAAATGTATGACATATTAGAATTGTGCCTTCTTCTTTCAGTCTTTAGTCTGGCAACATCCTGACTCCTCCACCTAAGGTGTGTTTAGATAAGATGTGAAGAAGTCACATGATCAACGTTGAACCATCACATACCTGAACCAGTCCCATAATACACAAAACTAAAATTGACAAATTCCCTGAAAGTAAAGTCTTGGAATAATGATAGGAAGACTTGAATAACTTAATATTTTATCAAGACTTAATTCTTTTTAGCTTTTGGATTCAGTTTTTTTATCGTCCTTTCCTATATTATATAGTTCTGGATCTGATGATAAACTACATTCAGCAGTAAGGCCTCTGATCAGGAGATTGAGGGGCTAGGAACCACTTTGTAACAAGAAGCCTAGAAGAAAGATTTATTCTCCCATTATCAGTATTGTTATATCCATTTTATAACAACACTAATATTTCACAGACGTAGCAGAATAGCTGAATGGAAAAAGAATAACAAACATGTTTAGTTCTCAGACTGGTTTATAATGCTATGTCATACACAAAATCCGATATATTTTACATGTGTTCTATGCAGAGAAATTATAACATATGCAACAACAAATGGTGTGTAAGAATTTACTTGTTATATTTCCTGAAGAGAAAACTGGAGTTATGTCAGTTTCTGTATGAACTTGCTTAGGCCATGTGATTTTTCCTATAAGACTTACCACTGTGGACTAGGGATGTCCTTCATCACTGGGCTCTACATCACAACTCTCTTCATCACTCTATCTCCTGATGTCATATACCAGCTCTCACGTGACCCTTTGACTATTTCAATGAAAGGGAGAAAAGGCCTCTGATAGGGAGATTGGAGGTTTTGAGGAGTGTGGAACCACCTCTTAATTGCTGTTGTTCCCATGTACACCCTGACCCAGGGTAGTAGCACCTGTTAGTCACAGCTATGTGCAAATAGTGACACTCCCCAAACATAAATAAAACACTATGAAAGTATAAAAATAGATTTTTATAGTAAAAATACCAGCAATACATTTTTATATAAAAAAATTAGCAACAATCTGTAACTTTACCCAAATTCATTTAAAATACTATGAAACAACCAACATGAAAGGACTCTTTTATGACATTTATACATATATCTTACAATTTTCTAAATCAAACTGTATTCTAAAATATAACTTAAACAAAACAACACAGAACACAGATCACCACCTCTAGTAACCATGTTTGCACAAACATGTATATGCACAAAAGCTGAATATCATCTACCATGTATTCAATTGTGAAAGCAGAATAACATGTGTCATATTTTTATTACTTCCAAGCTGCCAACAAAAATTTAATTTCAGCATTAACTGACCCGTAAGGAGTTGATATGCTGTTAAACATACAAAATAATCAATTAAATCCTATATTATAATACTTGACAGCAATACATGGTAGTCTGAACTCTGACTTGCTCAATTTACAACTATGATGTTCATAGAACAACAGTTATATGTGTCTATTTATTGTGCACCCCCCTTTTTTTTAAAAGGTTGGAATTGTGATCTGATAGTCTGTTCATTCACAGCTACTAATCCAAAAATCTGTTCTTTCCATGTCTCTGTGACAGTTCTAGGAATATTATTATAAATAAATATAAAAATTATTATTATTATAAATGAATAAATATAAAATAATAACAATTAAAATTACAAATAAAATAATATAAAACAATAACATAAAAACATTGTATAAAATAAATTAAATAAAAATTAAAAATAATAAAGATACTCTCAGCATGCAACAAAAACTGTTCCTGCTGGAAGTACGGACATCTCGCCAAAAGATGTTAAAATTCAATCTCTTCATCACAAACCATGGTACGGGCAACACCTGTCCAACTTCTCTCTGGGATATAGCTTGTAATATTATGGAGTAAATTTCTCCCTTTTATCACATGTACCATAAAATAATACTAACCCCCAAAAAATGTGCATACCACTACACACAAAAAAATAAATAAATTGTATGAAATTAACATACAATTTACTATGCTTTTCCTGTTATTTCTGTCAAGTATGCTTCTATCTCCATGAACATGAAGCTAATTTCTGCTACTATGATGTGAGTGAATCCCCCACAACATTTTTTGGTGACCACTGACATGCATAAGAAAAACAACCTATTCACTCACAGAGTCTCAGTGGGATTCTGTGCAAAGTGCACCACACTGGTGTATATATGGGACACAGCCTGGCAGCTGTCACCAATGATGTGTTTGTAAGAGTTAGCCATCAGTTTCTGAACCTTTCTTTCAAAAAGCATGTGGTCAATTCTTCACTTGACCAAGTTCAGATAACCTAATTCCCTAAAACTATTTTTCATATGAAACCACCAACAACTATGTTTTTATGTAAACAAACAAAACTACACAGCCTATATATATATATATATATATAAAAAAAGATGAATTCTTTGGTTCACTGTGTCATGCTAGACAATTTTGGGGTCAGAATCTATCTTACATATTGTACCATTTGTCCATTCTTTGAATATTACTGTCACATATAATCTTGTGCTTCTGCTATATATTTAGAGATTCTGGATAAAAATTTGCAATATTATTTGGCATCTCAGCTTCAGTCACTTTCCCTCTGTCATAATGTAGCTTCCCTGTGCCTTTTCTATAAATATTTTCATAGTAATTGTTCAGATGAATTCTTTGATATAGTACATAGACTTTATGAATTTAAGTGCAGCACTAGATTGGTGGTAAGGTTTCATCAATTTACAATTGAATTAACTAGATGTAGTTCTATGCTAACAGTTTGTTTTCTCCTACTTTTCACTGTCAAAATCTCTTCTGGCTTCATGCTTTCCAGCCAACTTTGATCTTCAAAAAATTTAAATGCAATATCAATCATTATCTACTGTCTTCTTAATTCTTTTCTTTTATTTTGCCTCTTAATAATTTTTTTTCTTATTTTTCACACTGAGTAACCTCTTGTTTCTTAGTGGCTTTATTGCCTTTGCATTGGGTGAAATGAATATAAAAAAATATATATATATATTTATAATATACCATATATATATATTTTTTTAATATATCTTACTATTATAAAAACTGAAACTTTGTGTGTGTGTGTCTCCAATCATTTATATATTGGATCGGGATTTCCTATTTTTTCAACCAATTTCAACAAAACTTCACAGAACTACATAAAATTACCTTGTGGTGGTTCTAACAGCGCCAAAAAGGAAAAAATATAATTGTTTTTGTGCAAAATCAATTTTTTAATTAAGAGACATTTAAAAATGGAAGGGGACAACCACATTTAGGTTGTTTGTGTGTGGGTTCCTTTTTAAATATGGGAGGAGGATTTCTATATTTTTTTGATAAAACAAAACTTCAACTTTTTTTTTTTTTTTTGGCAGGTAGTGTTTTACATTCTCTTGCACACTTTTTTTCTTTATTTTAACATTCAGAATGCTTTAAAAATTCCATTTACAGGACAATTTTTATAATAAAATTCTATTCAATCGGGAGACTCATAACGATTGAAAACAATGTTTTTGTTTGAGTTTGGTTTGACCAATTCAAAAAAAAAAAAAAAAAAAAAAACTAATTAAGACATGTGTGTCCATCAACCTTAAACAATAATCTAACGATCTCTACTGATTGTACGAATACAAACATTGGATAAATTCTTTATCTTTAGGAAAGATAATGAAATCTAAACATACACAAGAAGTCCTAACTAAAAATAATATCCGAACGGAAACTACTTTAAATACACATGGTGTCCAATTTTTTTACTGTATTCAATAAGTAAAAATCATAAATTGTAAAAGATTATTATTACAGAAAGGCTACTAAATGAATAAGATTTGTTAGATCATAATTAATAAACCCAAATAAAGTTAATATTTTTTGTATTAGAAACAACGAGTGGAAAATATATTTCAAATCAGAATTCTAATTATGAATCACCACAAGCAAAATATGCAATTTTTTTTACTGTATTCAATAAGTAAAAATCAAAATTGTAAAACTAAAAGAGTTACAGAAAGGCTAACTACATTCTTCAACCGATTTCAACAAAACTTTTTTTTTTTTGGCATGTAGTGTTTCTTATTGTCTTGCACACTTTTTTCTTTATTTTTTTACATTCAGAATGCTTTAAAAATTCCATTTAAAGACAATTTTTATAAAAAATTCTATTCAATCGGTAGACTCATGTGTTGAAAACAATTTTTTGTTTGAGTTTGGGTTTGACCAATTTTAAAAAAAAAAAAACACTAATTATTTTGCGTGTCCGTCAACCTTAAACAATAATCTTTGTCAATTTTATTTTCAGTCTTTATTTGGTGGATACTTGATCTATCTCTTCAAGTTGTTCTCCCCGGCAAACGCCGGGCTCTACTACTAGTATATTGATATATATATATTCAATGTATTGTTTTATAGATGTAAATATTTCTACAGAGAGATAGATACAAACACAATCTGAAGAGAGATAGAGGTAAATTTTTTGAAGAGAGATTAATATATACGAATGCACTATGAATGCAATATGAAAAAATATAACAATGCAATGTGAAGAATTGAATGCAATGTAAAATCATTGAATGCAATTAGAAGAGAGATAGATATGAATGCAATCTGCAGAAGATTTTGGGGAATGCAACTGCAGAGTAATAGATTTGAATATTCAAGAGAGATATCAAGGAATGCAATGTGAAGAGAGATAGATCATGAATGCAATGTGAAAAGAGTGATACGTTACAATTGGAAAAAAAGATTGATGCAAACGAACATTTAAAACATTTCCATGCGAATATTATAGGAAGAAAGGCAGATTGCAAGTGCAGCAGGAAGAAGACATAAGGTGCAGCAAAGACAAGCAGATGCGAGTGCAGCTGGAAGACAGGCAGATGCAAGTTTAATGGGAAGACAGGGAGTTTGATAGATATAGCTAACAAGGATAGTTAAATACTGATTTTCAAAAATATAAGGCAAATTTAGTAGATTGAAAAGCAAATAAAAAAGTTATTTCTTTGTGTAAATATGTTTGATAATTTATAACTCATCTCGGTTGTAATATCAATAATTGTTTTTTTTTCTTCCTTTTGAGGGGCTACTTTCTTTTTCTCTTTAGATCAGACTAATTTATCTCAAATCATTTTAAATTAAACCATCGTCAGTCAGTAGTTTTTGCATGTTTTAATTTTTAAGGAACAATCTGGAGAACCAGTTGCCTATATAACCATTTACCACTTTGATGCTTTTCTGTTATCCCTTTTTCTCAGTAATCTGTCAGAAAAAAAGAAAAATGTTCATAAGGGTCTCTTGTCATGGTCCACCCATTGTTCCATTTCCCTATCAGGTGGTAGTGAATCATCCTGTCAGATGTTTCTGTACTGAGATTTTTACTTTTGCCACCCAGTGGATTTTTTAATAGATGAAAAAAGAGATCTACTTGTAAACATTGGTTTGTTGATGCTTTTTCAAAAGAGATCACTATTTTATCATTGTTTAATTATGTTCACGAATCACTTCTGTATTCAAACTACAGGCTATTTAAACAAGGCCAACAATAAAGTCATCAAGTATAGCAACTAGGACTGAAACTAATTCTTGTTAAACATGAACAGATAAAACTTTCTAAATGGCTTGTTTTTACAAATTCTTGTTAAATGGATGCTTTAATTTTTTTTCCAATACTTGAATCAATGGCTTTACCAGGTGAGCCATTATAACCACTTTTTCAATCATTGTTCTTGAAAATAATTTTGTTTTCACTTATGTAGAATTATATTTTATTTTTTAATAAAAGTTTCTGCAATGAAATTTAAGTCTTATTTTTCTTCAATTCTAATGATAATTTTCATTTGTATATAATGTAAACTGCCATTTTTATATATAAAATGTTTTTGTGATGTAATGAACACTCCAGTTGCCACTTTTGTAATGCCAGTGAATACTCCACTGTCAAAAATGTAATGTTCATTTTAGTTAGAGAAGTTGCAATCACCTGATATAACTATAGTATACCATTGAACAATGTGTGGATGTCAGACACATTCCAAATAACACTAAACTAATAGTACTTGCTTGATAATACTCAAAGAAAAGTAATCACTGTATTGTTCCATGTTCAGAATAGAGAATAGCGGTGTCCAGTATAGTAATAGAGTTGAAATGAAGATAAATTAGACATTTATGGTCACGTATTGAAATTAATTCAATAAACTCTTCACCTATGTTTGCTCAATACTATTTCACTATGTTTAAAACTCAAGATTGGCATCAACAGTTTATTCCTATATAACAACAAAATGACTGGATGCATATATTTTCCTTTTAATGTTATTTATTAGTTATTTTTATAAAATGTTTGAAAACGTTTGTTTTTTTTTTTTTTGCATTATTTTATATCATGAACATTGTTTTATCAACCATGTTTAAAATCTTGGATATCTTGAGCTGCTCAAAGGTTGGTAATGAAGGTTTCTGCTATGAAAAAGTGTTCATTGATCATAGGTGATTGAGGAATGATTTTTTATTGATATAAGTAAACTTTATTGCTAAAATATTATACAGGAATCCTTTCATTAATGCACACCAATTAATGAGTTTTCAATTAGTGGACCTAAAATTTTTTTTATACTAAAATTTGATTAGTGCATTTCATCATAATACTCGATTAATGGTAAAACATTCTTCAGTTTAAAAATAGTAATTGAAAATTGATATTTTAATAGCTACTAATTAATTAAAATTTTTTTCTAAAATTTAAAAATTGAAAATGGGTAACTATTTTTTTTTGTCAAGTATTACATTATTTAAATAATTACAGTAGTGCTAAAAAAAAATTATTATATAAATAGATCAATTTTATAATATAAGCCAATAATAAAAATACATACATATTTGAATATTTGTCTCTTTTTTTAAAATTTTTTGAATATTTTGATATTTTCATGTTTATTTTGAAAAAAAAAAAAAACAAATTTCTGATTTTTTTTTAAAAATATGATTAAATTATATACAGAAACTTAAATTTATTAAAAATATCAAAATATAAAAGACATATGCATTTACTATGGAAAGATTATAAATAAAATGTTCAGTTTAAAATACTAATGATTATGATGTTTGGAAAATTTCCCAAAATAGAAAATATATACATAAGGTTCTTTTTTACAAATTAAATTCAATTTTTAACATTTTTTTTGTTTTAGATTTTACCTAAACTGCCAGCAAAAGATGACAAAAAATGAATTAGAAGAATTTTCATTTTATTGAGAATTTAAAAAAAAATTGTTTTTAAAAGCACCCCTGATGGAGATAGTGAAGCCAACAAATTTCTATGGGGCAATTTCTTAGTCCCACTATTTATATGAAAACCAAAATCAATACATTTTGGTAAACCACTGGTGGTAAGTTTTTCATAAAAAGTTTTCTTAATAAACATTAAACCATTTTTATTGTAAATTCAAAGGTTATATATAAACTGTGTCTAGAGATTATATGCAAAAGAGGTATTGTCAAATATTTTATGTTAAATTCATAGATATGTGTTTATCCAATGAAATAATTTGTACTATTATGTATAGCAAGTAAGCATGAAAGCAATTAAGTCCCAATTTTCAATTTCAGATTGATATTTAGTATTTTTTCAGTAATTATAGCAATTTGCAGTGTCAAGAGATTATTTGCAAAAACTAGAATTTAGTATTATGGCTCGTAAAAAAAACTAACAATGAATGAAAAGAACTATATAATCAAAGAAATTAGCAAAGGAAAGTCTTCACTTCAAATTTCTAAGGATTTGAAAAGGATCATCAAACAATCAAGAAAATATGTCAAATGGGAATTCAACCAAGGAAAAAAAAAATCTCAGGCTGAATTCAGGAATTTAACAAAGCGAGATCTATCACATATCCAAAGAGAATTAATAAGAAACCCAAATGCGTCAAGTGCGTTCATATTTGAGGCCACTGGAACTCCTATGGTGTCAAGGGAAACAAGGTGAAAGCATTAAGGAAGTTTGCTGATGTAAAAAATCAAATAAAGAAACCCATTTTAATAAAAAAACATAAGGAAAAAAGATTGCAGTGGGCAAAAAAATACATGAAAACTGTTTTCAGTAAAATGCTTTTTACAGACAAATCAAGGATCACCCTCGATGGGCCTGATGGATGGGCTCGAGGATGGGTTTACAAGCAACATGATTCAAGAAAATTTTTAAACGCCAACAAGGCAGCGGTGGGATCATGATATGGGCTGGGATTATTGGTAATGAGCTCATGGGTCCATTTAAACTGAAAGACAGGGTTAAAATGAATTCCCAAAGTTACTGTGATTTTCTAGAGCAATATTTCTTTGAATGGCTTAATAACCAGTCTTTAGCCAAGCGTAGATCTATGATCTTTATGCAAGACAACATACCAAGTCATGCATCAAAGTTTACTAAATCCTGGTTGAAAAAAAAGAGATTTGTTGAAGATTCTCTTATGGACTGGCCTTCAAATAGCTGTCACTTGAATCCCATTGAGAACCTGTGGAGCATTCTCAAGAGAGATATTCTAATGGAAGGCAATTCAACAGTAAGTGTGACCTCTGGGAGGCAGTTAAAGTTGCTGCAAACAACTTACCAGCCGCTAAAATTGCAAATCTAACATCAGATGTTGATAATAGGCTGCTAAGAGTTATTGAAAAGAAAGGAGCATTTGTGCAATAAGTTTTAGGAGGTTCTTATTATTTTTTGTTAATATATCTTTTATTTTTAAAATAAAATGTTTTTTTTTATGTTTTTCCTTTAAGAAATTGATGAATTTGTTCTAAAATCTTTTCATATTATTTTTTGACATTAGTTTTACAAGCTATAATAATGTAAAAGTATCAAAATAAATAGTTGCAAATAAACTACTGACAGTCAAATTAGTCTGTTTTGTTAACTTAGCAAAATTTTTTCCAAAATTTTTTTATTAACCAAAAGCTAAACAAGTTTTCTAAAGTCGCACTATATATTCTAAGTTAATAATATTGAGTAGAATCTAAACAACATCGAATTTCAATAAACACTAAAATTATCTTTTAGCACATTTTTGGTTGAAGACACTTTCAAGTTGAAACATGATGACAAAAGTACTTTTCACTTTGTTTAATTCTGTTATTTTGGTTGTTTTCATTTTCTCTTTTTCTCATTCCTTCAAAAATTCAACGTTGGGGAATGTTGAGGGTCCCGGATACGATAAAAAAGCTTTACCAGCTATAATGGATAAAATAAAAGGCATCTTCAATAAATGAAAGTAAAAAAAACAAAAAACTTAATTAAAACTCCCAAAACATCTTTTTATTTATTTTAAACTTTTTTTTTGGGGCACTCAGAATTTTCTTAAGATATAGTTTTCCATACCTTGTTTCAAGAAAATATCCTCAAGAATTCATTATTTTTTTTTTTTTTTTTTTTTTATATTGTTCAATTGTAAGAATTTTTCCAACATTTTTGGAGATGATAATGATAATGATTTACTGATGCAAATTCTACTATTTAACCTATAGCTGGGCAGAGAAGAGGGTATTTGTGCATAAGTGAATATCAAAACCCAACTGGAATTGGATCTTGGCTCTATGATTTCCAATTCTGAGCTGTTATCCATTACACAACCCACACATTCATACTTACAGACAGCTCCTGGTATTCCTAAGCAATCAGCCATCTAGATGCTGAGCAGATGATAATCACAGCACTAGATGTAGACTTAGTTCTGTGACTACCATATATGTTTCTGACTAGTTATTCTGTAAACTTCTGTGTCCATGCTGGGTTTGAAAGATCCACAGATGGGAGATGATAATTCGTCCGAAACTTCATCTGATGGCCAGAATAGTCAGCTAGAAGGGTCAGCAACTTAAAGAATTAGGCAACTCTCCATTAACAAATGGCAAAAAGATTGTAACACAATT